TATGACTTAATCAAAGTAACAGATCATTTTTTAAAAATATAAGCTTTCCTAATCTGACTGTATTCAGGATGATAGGTATACTAGAAGTAAAGTTAGAAATGAACAACTTTGATAGTTTGTTTTGTATTCTTTTGTCTTTTGTCGTCTGCTCAATTACATCGTAATAATACATCTTCTAATACTTGTTATTGTTGTTATTATTATGTGCCATCAATTCGCCAGCTTATTGTTATTGGTATTATTGTCTTATTGTTATAGGCTAAACTGAAATCTCATATCCAGAACCCCAGTGCTGCAGATTTGGTCCACTTTTTGTTTACTCCATTAAATATGGTAAGACTTTATTAATTTCAGGAAATAATCATTCTTAATATGTTTTTTAATTCCACAAGGTGAACTTTCTGTGCAGCTTTTTATTCTAAAACTTGCCTGGGTATTATTTCTATTGCCATTGAAATGTAGAATCTAGAAGCTGAAAGAAACTGTAAAAGGTACTGTCTACTTCAACACTTTCTTTTATAGATGAGAAAATTGATGTCCCTGAAAGAGCCAGGGAAGTGGAAAGAAAGAAAAATGTATGGGGCATTAGTGTTGCTATATACTTGTTTAAAACATCAGTGGTTCAATAGGTTAGACATTTTTCTCTTTCTCATAAAATCACCTTGTCTTGAATGGTTTAGGGATATCTGGATTACTTTGTTCTATAAAGTTAATCAAGAAACTTAATTTCTTTTAATTGAGTCATTCCTTAATCTGGATTATCTACTTCAATCAGACATTTTTTAACTTATTTAGTTACATAAGAAATATTTATAGAAAGCCTACTGTATTCTTGGCACTACAATAGCTCAACAGGAACAAAGCAGAAATATCCTTACCCTTTTAAAATATATTATTATATTAATTGTTGTTATGTGGTGTTGAGTCACCTGCAACTCATAGTGACCCTATGTACAACAGCCCTAAACTCTGCTCTATCCTATGCCAATCTCACAGTTTCTGACACACCTACCCCCATTCCACAGTCACTGAATCAATCTGTCTCATAGAGGGTCTTCCTCTCCTGTGCTGTCCCTCCACCCTACCAAGCATTATGTCCCTCTCCAAGGACTGGTACCTCCTTGTGACATGTCTAGAGTATGTCAGACAAAGCTTCAGAATCTTTGCCTCCAAGGAACTGCCTGGTTTAACCTTCTCCCGGACAAACCAGTTCGTTTTCTTAGCAGTCCATGGTACATTCAGTACTCTTCTCCAACACTAAGCTCAAAGACATCAATTCTCCTTCTATCCTCCCTAGTCATTGTCCAACTCTCTGATGCATAACAAGTGATTGCAAAGA